GATACTCTCGGAGGATTTTCCGGCGTCGGTAGGTAGGAAGTCCCGGTGGGCTTCTCTTGCAACGAGAGGACCTCACAATACGTCGTTACGAGGCGGCTAACCCTCCCCCCGGCCGAGGGCTCGCCGAGTGGATAATCGTTTTAGGGAGGGAGCCGCAGCCACGGTTCTGGTATTACCGCCTTTGTGGACGATGTTTGAACGCCGCCGGCACTCGGGCAATCAGGTCGATTCACAATCAGCGCACTTTCCACACCGCGACCGATCGCCGACGACATCTCTGTACAACGGAAATCGCCTCTTCTACGATTGAACATTAGAATTCGCGTAGCAAAAGACGGGACGTGAATATTATTTAGTTTCAGTTCTGTTCCTTAATGAGTTCTGAAAATCTAGTATTCAGAATTTTTTATCTTTTTATAATATCGGAAAACCAAGTAAAATAAAATCTAATGGGCGCATTGATTTACTAAATAATTAATTAAATCTTACTTGTGTGTAAAACTTTTCACAAATCACATCGATATCATCTGTTAAAAGTATGTCATTAAAATAGTAAGACAACAGATTTGTAAAATATCTTTAAAAAAGTAAAAGAGAGAGAGAGAGAGAGAAGGAGAGAAAAAGAGAATACGCGCGAGAATAGCTCAAGGACCTGTTCGCAATACCAGGCGAAGAGTACATTTGCAAGTGATGATTAATTCATCAGTTCATGAATTAAAATGTTCACGATCTCTATTGTAACGGTGAATGTACTTCCATCCATTGACGACGCAGCATTCGACGCGTGAATCCGATGTCGTTATATACACGAGAGAGAAAGCCGTTACGTGCGAATGGAGAGTTAATTTCGAACTGTCAAAAAATAAAAACTAAAAAATAAAAAAATAAAAATACAATAGCGGTAGCCCCGTTGTCGCTGGGAGAATTCCGAATGAGACAGTGAATTATTGGCTGTCACTTTATGTTCATAAAATCTTTATTTTGTTTATCGATGCCAATTTTATTTTAAAATGCCTTTCACCAACCATTACACATCGCGCGAAAAGGTGGATGCAAAAATCTGAAAGAGCTTAATCCCATTTTTATGTGTCAGGAAATCGTTATTGTTATTTTCAGCGATGTATGCGATTGGATGAAAATTTTGCCATTTATTACTATAGAAAATTGAAACCGCTGTTTCTTTTTTTCTTTTTTTTCAGATATTCAGATATTTTCTTACATAAAGTCGCATAATCCAACACACACAGCCAGCACGTAATGTAATTTAATTATCGTACATAAAGTAATAAAATAAAATTAATATATCACGCGAGTTCAGCAGACACAACATTACGTATCTTGTTTTCGTTGTAGCTTGGCGCAAAAGTTTGTACGTTAATTGTGGTTGTGTTATATATTGGATGATATAAGTTGGTTTACTGTATCAAAATCTACGCGCGCGATGTGGGATTAGGGAGCGTGTTAAGGTCGCGGCGCGCACATGTCAGACCGAAAGTAGTACTTTCCAGTATGAATGCGGGTTCGAGTCGCGCCGTTGGGTCTCCAATGAGAAAACCGGAAACTCACGACGAGGAATTTGGCTCTTCGGACTCGCACGATCGTCCAATTACCTCGTAGTACACAGCATTTACATAACGTATACAAACGCCTATCTGCCCGACGACGACGCCGCCGCCGCCGAAACCGCCGCTCAATGTCGCCACCCTCACAGCGACGATCTCACGGCAACCGAAGTAATTACAGACGCGTTTCAGGGAGCACCGACTGAATACAGAAATTATGCAGATGGCGTAATAATATTCGCCACACGTTTGCTCGGGTCAATATTGAACTAAGCTTCCTCGTAATTCCTCACGAAAGACGCCACAACGCGCGGCGGATTCACCTCTGACAAAAACTCGTTGCGCGCGACCCTTAAATTTGCCCGTTTCTACCAATAAAGCTGGACCCGTAACATCCGTTCGCGTCGCTCGATGGATCACGACAACATTCTGGTTTCTCTACGTTTTGCAATTATAATACTCGGTTCCTGAGGGTCACATTGAATAAATCACCGCTAATTGCGTGAATAGAAGTTGGATATCGCGCAGCTCTTATATTGAGACAAACGAGAATCGCGATTTGAGACTAACGAATGTATTCTTATTAACAAATTATTCCACGCAAATAAAATTTTACGCGCGCAATCGCCAACATTTTCCAGAAACTGAAGAATTAAATGGTCGACAATAGTAATTATGATTACGGATTAAACGGCACAATCAACCGTTTAAACAATATTGTACATTCAAATCCGGGTACGTGTGTATATATACGCATTTTGTGTGCTCTGTTTCGTTTCAATGCAGACCAGCATAACTCTCTGCGGGCTGGTGGTACATTATATATCTGTGTTCCATCTCGCGTGAGAGAAAGCGATCCGAGCGAGAGCCGGAGAATCTCGCACCTTCTCTCGCGACGCTCTCGACGCGGGTGGAGTGGCGCTTTGGCGGATCGGTCGTGGAGAATCGCGCCATAAATCAGCCGTTACCGAGTCAATTGAGACGTCGCGAGCACTCTTTGCGTTCCGAGTCCGCGCCGTTGGTGGCTTTTTGTCGACGAGCACGACGAGGTGGACGAATGTGAAAGAGAGAAAGAGAGGGTGTGTGTGGAAAGGGTCGCGGCGCGAGTACCCCCCGCGCGGTCGTTAAACGCAGCCGTACTCGAGTGTCGAAGTAACGATATGCTAAAAGGTCGACGGGGATGGGCGACGAGAGAGAGAAGGTTCCGCCCGACGTTTCTTCCCCGATCGCGCGCTCGATGATATACGGCTCGATACGTCCTCTCGCGCGCGCTCTTTTGTTACACACGCACACACACACACTCCCTTCTTTTCGCAGACTCTCTTCTAGGACTCTCTTTTCCGACGTCTGCCCGTTCTATCGTGCCATCCGATTCGCGCAACGACACGGCCGATGGCGCAAAGTGCCTCTCCACGAATGAATTACGCCGAAATTTTCCGGTGCGCGCGTGCGGTTTCACCAAATCGAATACTCTACAGTCACCTGATTACAACAGACGGTCCCAAAGAGATACTTATGTATCCGAGAAAACATAATTATCGTGTGTCATTACGTCAAACATGTGTGGCGGCGAGCGTTGTCTGTTTCGCAGCCTCTGTTCCATGTGGCAGTGACCATATGCCGCCAATTTCAGGTGCACTTGCGACGAAGTTCTAATTGCACGAACATGTGTTATATCCTTTTCCCTTGGGTCGCAAATCGCAGTGTGTGTGTGTGTGTGTGTGCGCGCGCAGAAATATTAATTATTATTATTACTATTATTATTATTAATGTCATCACGCGTTCTCCCTCGTTGCTAATTAGAAAACAAAAGTACCGCGTTGTACAAATAAGTAGGTACGTAATGGAAAAACGTGGCCGCGCATTATGTTTAAATTTCGGCGGATTTCACGACTGGATGAACGACAAATTAGATAAGTCAAACATTGCAACTCGATTATTTTGTTACCGGTTATCAAGTTTCGTCACTCAACACGCATACGGAACGAAAATTGAGTTTTTCGTAGTTATTCATACGCGATTGTTGTTAAATGAATAAATTGCATTTGCAAGAGCTGTAATAATTAATTTGCCACATAATTATATCGAAAGTAAATTAATAACGCCCCGGTCAAAATTCGTAATCAGACTAGAAACACAATCGAAACTTTCGCGCGGAGCCGCGCCGGTGTTTCGACGTTGGCACTAGTTCCGCCGAGTGACTATCAGTGTTATGCCATTAAAAGTTGTAGCATTAGTGGGCGCTAGTTCGTAACTCGTTGAGCATTATGATTATACCGCGAAAGTTCTAAACATTATATCACTGCACAAATACGATATTTATCAAAGTTTGTGCGGGAAAGCGACTTTCTTCTTTGTGAGTTATGTCCGGCAAAACTTCTTCCATCGAAAGTAGCGGCCATGTTAAAAGCGACGGCGATCGTGTACGGACTTGTTCAAACTAAGTTTTATTGACACGCCTCCGGAATTCGTTTGGTTTGTCTCGCGCCGAGCTCCAGCACGACGTTTGAGATCGGTGACGAATGAAATGTCCGGGACGCGTCAACCTGCTGAGCATTCGTTTTCCTCGTCTTGTTCTCTTGCTGATAAACTTATTCGGCTTTCGAACGTTTGAAAAATGATTCATTTTTAACGCGCGCGCACGTCTAGTCTTCTTTTCAGACGTCGTCTATTAGTTCGTCATCCGCGACGCATTCGCGTATGAAAACGGATCACGTCGGGACGTTAAAGAAATCAGCTTTTTCCTCTCTTCGATTTCTTTCTCGCGCAGGTTGTCTGTAAAGTTGCTGCGAATGGAACGGGAGCGTATCAGGTGGAATTTAATCATATAAATGGACGAGCGTCCGATTCCCTCCCGGCCCGATGCGAAAAAATAAAAGTTCCATGAGCTCTCTCGCGGCACCTCGTCGAAAAGAGAGGAGAGGAAATCCCCTCAGAATTTTTTTCCGATTGAATCAGCTCCACTGCGAAACTTTATTTCGCAGTGCTTGCGAACCTTTGCTCCTCTCCCCTTCTTCGCGCGTCTATTTTTTTTAATTTGCTGACAAAACGTGCGTCGGACCAGTTGGGGAGAGAAATCGCCCCATGTTTATTCAGGCTGGTTTTTACGTGGTTTAGAGACAAATGTTCGGCGAGTCGCCATTATGGAATGAAGACATGAGGAAAACATATCGAAACCTACTTTCTCTCTGTTTATTCTGCAATTTTTGAAAGCTCATATAATGTAAACAATGTAATATCCACAATTACGAAAAAAAAACTAGTTTTTGTAGTGCTCTATAAGTTTTGTTATTACTTCGTGAATGAGCGATCCGCCGCGCCGATCTGAATTTTCTGGCCGAACGTGTCCGAAACCACTGCGAATCGTGCGAACGTGGCGAGAAAGCAACAGAGCCGTGTGACTTTTGTTTCGTTTTGCCGTCACGTTCGTGGGCTTCGCGTGCCATCGCGTCGCGGATACTAATCGAACGTAAAGAAGAGAAACTAAGTCGCTCGCAGAATCGACATCGTCGATGCCGACTTTTTCTTCCCGAGTCCGAGAGTGGCTTCTCCGCGAAAGAACAATTAGTATTGTCGAACGAACTCCCGTGTGCTGCGATGTGCTGCTTCGAACATAGTTACTCCGGAATTTTCCAGAATAAAGCCAATCGCAGAGCCTGCTTCGTCGGCGCCAGTGTCGTCGAAGTTCTCGACAAGTCTTTCCACGCTGGAATAGCAACCATCGAACTTTCGTACGTACAGTGATATCGGTAAGATTAATTCGATTGTTTGTTGAGCACGTAAAAAAGACAAATATAATTGTTCAATAATAATTTGTTGCGAGAGAATTTAGAACTTTTTAATTTTTGAAATTCTGTTCGCAGACCACTCGTTAAAGCGTATCTGTCTGCAGGACTTGTGACAGTAATCATCTTAGCGTAAGTACGTTTTTAATATTTATACAATATTAACGTTTTTAATAATATTAACATTCTTTTTTTTTTATCAACTAATTCGCAATTATTATTACAGAGTTCTCTATCTGCTGTCGGCTACTCTTCATCTCGTGTTACTTAAAAATTCAAAATGTTGGTTACGTTGCCAGTTAATTGCAACTACAATCGTGGTACACACATATGATACGCCTAAGCTATTAATATTAAACTTTTTTCAGTGATCTTCTTGATGATGATATTAAAATTAACAGTCCTATTATTCATAGAAAGTGGTACTTGTGCTTTTGCTCTTGGCACTATTATCCATGACGAAAGTGGAGGGTTGGAACGCTACCGGTCTAGTGTCATCAACGTTAATCACCGTCGTTATCATAAAGCTCTTCGGTATCGCCATCGCGTGCTCGAATCTGGTATAATCTCCCACCTGTCTCTCTTTCTCCATCCCTCTCTCTCCCTCTCTCTCTCGCTGTATTAAATTAAAGAAACGTTTATAGCGGATGAAATAAATTGCGTTAGTGCGTTTGCCAGGCCGTTGTTGTGACGTTCGTCGACCTGTTCGCAAGCATTATCGCGCGCGTTAACTCAACAAATCAATTTGCCGACAGGTGGACATGAGCGGTGACTGGTCGTATTTAATAGAATTTGGTTTCGGCGTTATATTAATCGCCATCGTACTCGGGATAGAGTTACTCGTAATTATGCACACGCTGACAGCGGCGGTTATTGTTGCCGCCATACTCGGCACATTCCTCAGCTTGGTAAATATATGCGCAGACTGAACTGTGTTTACATAGTACGACTATAGTTCGGCCGACGCAAGCGAGCGGGAGATTATTTCGCGCGCAAATAAACCGTTTGCTTTCTCAGATATCGCTGATGGATCTACATCAGAACATGAGCATCAATTCCTGGTGGTGGGAAGAAAAACTGCTCAACGGATGTATGTACCACGTGTTGCGGCAGTACACGCTGCTGTGGTGTCTGCGGATCGAGGAGAAACCGCGCGCGATAACGATCTTCGATAGCGCGTCTCAAGAGAAGCGGCAAGACGACGTGACTGCGTAAAAACGGCCAATGAAATCTGTCTGTTCTTAACGCTACGTTAACTCCTGTTATAAACCCGCGCGTATCGGGACTTTTTGCAAAATTGCGATCGAAATTTTTTGTGACTTTTGATTTAGAAGATATATACATATATATATATATATATATATATACACTTATCACCGCCGCGGTCTTGCGTGCGATACGTTGCGAACGACGTTTCTTATATTGCACGGCGCGTATCTACGAGCGTATATAAACTATCATTAAAGTATCATACACGTGAGATATCGTCGATTCGACATCGTTACAATCTGTACGCCCGTATTGCGCGGCTAACCAGAAAGAGAACTTTGACGTTCCGGTATTCCAAAGAGAACACTGTGCGCGTAATCCCGATATCATCGTAAGAAACCGAGCTCGCCTTAAATTAAGAAACTTAGTTTTACGACTGTCGCGCCGTTCCTCGTTTCCTTGAACGCCGTGTCCCATCGAATATCTTGTTTTCTATTTTACGATCTACTTGTGGTACCACCGACTGTGTTGATTTTTTTTGTTTTAATTAGACGACCGCATTCCGCAATGATTGAAAATAACGTCCGTACTTTCTTATTTTATTTTTGTTTGCAATGTTACAATCATTTGTTGAAAAAACGTAAAACGCGCGCGATGATCATCTACCTCTTAAAAGTTTGTAAGTGCCGGTTCGTGCAATAAAGAAACACAATCTTTCTACACCAGATGCGTGATTCTGACAAGCGTATTCTGCACGCCTTTCGTGCGCGTTTTCTTGTTACTTTCCACCGACACTTTGGCGAAGTGGAGTGGTTTCGAGGACGTCTTTCTTGCGTTCGACAATCGTTCGAAAGAAAAGAAAATAAAGGCACAAAGAGAATCCAGAAGAACACGGGCAAATATTTCGCCATCTTCCGCTGGGACTTATCGGTCATAAAATGGCACTTCGAACACTCGAGAGAACACACGCCGTGTCGACCGTGTCTCGCGGTGCAACGGGCACTTGTGGCCGAAGGGACAAATCTTATCGACTCGGTGTGTGCGGCATGAGATGGTCTTTCGCGCGCAGGCACCGTTCGAACCACTTTCGAAAAAGCAAACAGCGGACAAGCAGCGGTGCGAGAAAAAGCGAGAACGTGCCTCCTTCCAATGAGAGTAAAAGAGGAAATAAAACACGCAGCCGGTCTACGGGCAAGGAGAAGGGAGTAAGACGAACTTCTGGGCCGGACGAAGAAATGAGGAAGCATCTTTTAGGTTCCCACGAGATTTTGCGGCTCGTGGTCGAGCCCGAAGGAACCGATGGAAGCGAAATCAATTTTACGGGCGGACGGCTATCGATATCATGCCGATTGGCATCGATCCGATAGAGACAGAGAGCGAGAAAGAGAAAAAGAGAAAGAGAGAGAGAGAGAGAGAAAAAGATCAATCGAAGCATCCTTTCTATCTCTGGCAGAAGGACACCACGTGACGCAAAATTACCTGCCGCTGCAATCCGGACGCGCTTCCGTTCTCGTCAAACGAGAAGCGGCTTAGAAGGCTCCTTGCCTCTTCCAATTTGCAGGAATCGGCTAGCGAGCGAGTGACTAGTCAGGTATGTCGACAGCGAAACAAGGCGGCCGCGTTATTTCCATCGAGCTTGCCGATGTCGTTTCCTCGTTCCCGAACGACGACTACCTGCCGAGCTTATTCCTCATGAAAGCTCGCGCGCCGTCCCCGACAGAGATTGCACGTATGACACAGTCAATTTTCCCGGAATGGGGAAACGCGTCGAAAAAGCTTTCGCCGAAGCAATCAGTGCTACTAAAGAAAAGACAGCTGTCGCGTTATTTTCGTTTAAGAAGCTCCGTAGATATGGATATCGCTTTCGATATTATTATATATTAGCACAACACACAGGCGCGCATACTATTATTATTTTTATTTTAACGTGTTGTGTTAGTGAACACAATCTGTCACCGCAATGACAGCTAGTATATACGTTTTACAAACCATATAATACACATATGAGAGATGTCAGAAAGAACGCATGAAAATCAAACTCGAAAAATAAAAGAAAAAAGAGAGTGGAAAAACAACACGTGACTAAAATCAAGTGTATTTTAGTCTCGTGTCTTTAAAAATGTGATTGAAATAAGGTCACGTAACAAGGAAAAGAGTTAAAAAAGAGAATATTATATATATTATATATAATATTTTATATGTCTATATATGATATATATAATATATACATACATATAATATTATATATATAATATTATATATATATATATATTATACACACACAAAAGGTCAGTGACCTTTAACGAAAGGTCAATGACCTTTGCTGAAAGTCACATAGTGTTTTTACTCTTCTCTCTGTCACGTGATCTTACTTTAGTCACGTTTTTAATTTTCTCCACGTATACGACAAACTGTCAAAATCGCTTTTCTGTCAAAATTTACTCTCTCAATCGACCGATTCGATTCGACTCGATTCGACTCGATCAACCGACCAACCAATCGGCAACATAGATGCGATACATTCGATTCAAAAACTCGCAAATCGCGGTATGACACATAGATTATTTTATGAGGGATTTTGTAAAATACAAACCATGAATATGTACACACATATATATTTATATATTCTGCCGTTTATATAAAACCATAAGATGGTACAGCGCGATAAGAGGCAGAATAAATTTACCGGTTTCAATTCTTTCAGAATCGACTTAGACAAATGGGATTTCCATTCTATTCGCGATTTCAATCCGCGAGATTCCCGCGTGATTCAATCGCTTTACAACGAACGTTGTGTGCAGAGGTATATGTATATATATATATATATATATATATATATAACGGTATTGTCGAATCCTTGCGATAATAATAGGCTGAATATGATTTATTGGGCACCACCGTACTCGGCATAACGATTATAACCGCAATTAACTCGATGGGAAGCAAGAACTTCGCGGCTCCGAAGCGCCGAGCAGGAATCGTGCATTTGCGCAGCAATAGAGTATACGAGATGGATAAAAAGGGGCGATAAGAAAATGACAAGTCGCGGAACTATCGGTACGTACATTTATTATCCTTATGGTAATACCCGGGAAAGATGATTTGCACGTCGCACGGTGAGATTACAAACGCAGTCGTTCTTTTCGCACCGGCGCTCCTCTCGTAAACACAAATCACACAATAACGCGAACCAAATTTATATATCTTCAAAATAAAATTCCTGTACCATAAACGCAGCTTTCAATTATCAAAGAATGTTACACGTACAGTACATCGCGCGCGAAGAGAACGTTTTAATTAAAAGCTGCTAACACAATGTGTGTATAAAATCAATAGAAAACTCAATTATATTATAGGTATACGTATGTACGTGGTATATGTATGTAAACAACGAGAGAGAGAGAGAGAGAGAAGAGAGAAAGAGAGAGAGAGAGAGAGAGAGAGAGAGAGAGAGAGAGAGAGAGANAGAGAGAGAGAGAGAGAGAGAGAGAGAGAGAGAGAGAGAGAGAGAAAGGGAGAGAGAGGGAGAGAGAAAGATAGATTTGTGAAACATTTGATTGCGGAGCTGTAGTACAAATACAAAGTGAATATCGTTTATCGAACACGCTTACAACAAACGGGTTCCGGAGATGATTTACGGCGACGTTAAAATCAAAGGTGGTGTAAAACGCGCGGTAGTCGCGTGATTCGCCGCCTCGCAATAAGCGTCCAAGAGAAGATAATTAACTCGGATATCCTTCGTGCCGCTCTGTGAAACGTTATTAAATCAGGCAATCATCGTTTTTCGAGAGCAAAAACGAAGGTGGGATATACTCGCGAGAAATACGCAATGCGCCCGGAGCCGGTCCGATCCGCAGTCAGTCGGTAAGGCGCCATCTCAACGAGCGACTAACGACAGCCACTTTACGACACCCACGCGCTCGCCGCTCCCGAACAGTTATTAATTACACGGCACCGGGTTTTCGTGTCGAGCTCCACCCTCGTCTACTTCGTCGTGTTTTCCTCACGCCCGCGCTTTGAAGCCGGCGTCGCTCGATCGGTCTTGCGCGCGACAAAGCTCCGATTCTGTGTCGCGCATTCCTCTTTCGCCTTTTACGTTTGTATCCTAATGGTTCTCTTGTGTTTTTCAACGTCGCCACTCTGACGCTCTTTACCGTTTGTTCGTATCTTCTGTCAATCGTCACTTCGACGCGAGACATGAAGCTTACAAAAACACTTGTCAAATTGCATCTCTTCGATCGCAATTTAATCGTTGCTTCGTATTTATTTTGTGTTTTTATATTTATGTAAGTAATAAAATAAAATTGTGTAAAAATAATAAGCACACACAAAGTTACAGACACTTTATATTAGCGAATCAGACTTTGAGTCAAATCTTTTAAAGAGATTTTTCTTTTAAAGAGATGTGCTTTTTATTTATTTTTTGAAGAACATTAAAGTTTGCAATCTATATGTATACATGACGCATTTAAAAGAACGCGCGACTATAAGATCTCCGAGGAAATCTTCCTGGCGTTCTTTCAAAATGTCGTTACTCGTCAAACGTGGATACGGTTCTCCTTGTTTCTAGACTCCTTTGAGCGACGCTTTGCGGCGACGTCGGGGGTTCGTCTGGAACGAACGGCGTAGTATATTTGTTTTTTTTTTTTTTTTTTTTACATATCGCAACAACTTTCCTCTTGCCGCCTTTGACGCTCTTTGTCGCGTGCCGTCAGAGGTGGAGATGAGTTTCGAGGAGTAACGGTCCTCCTTGAAAACTTTCTCATTCGTCAAATTAGAATTCGCCTTTTTGTCAAGTTCCCGGGGGGGGGTTCTCCGATGGCGCCTCCGCAACTCCCTCGAGATGGATGTATGCCGAGACAATGGATCAAAGGATCGCATATATCCATCAACTGTACGGTGTGTGTGTATTTCCCCTGGACTCTGGATATCATGCGCTGAGGCGGGAGATAATCCAATGGGAGCGGATCGGCTGATCGGTTGGTGTCATGCGAGAGAGGAGATGACACAGATGAGAAAACCGCATTTCTCTGCCGTCAATTGATCCCGCGTGTTCTTTCCTCGCGTTCCCTCGGTTTTCGCGCGAGAAAATTAGAATATCGCGTCTACCTGTTGCAACGAGAAACGCAAAAGAACGTCAGAGAAAAAAAGAGAGAGAAATAGAGAAATCAAACATCTATTTTTATTATTCGCACGCGGAACGGGAATTATATACGGCTAACGCGAGCCAATATCCCGGATAAATCCATCTTAAATCAATAAAAATAAAACGAAGAAGGAATCTCGCGGGCAAGAGAGCAATGAGTTCTCGTTCGTGGCGCTTCATAGACAGCCAATAAAGCCGCCTGGAAAAACACAGGCTGATCGAAGTTTAATCAAAGTCTTCCACTTCGTCATCCAGCGTTATATAACCCACCCTGAGTCTGCGTAGAATAAGCAAGTTGGTATCGTGGCCGTTCCGATTGGTTCGTTTTCACGAGTTGAAGTTACGACACCGCGCGCTCGCCGTCTGTAGGAAACCTTCTTCCCACCTTTGTGACTGCGTGTGGATATATACGTATATAGTCGAGAAATCAATTTCGGAATCCGTCATAGAAGTTACGTCGGCGCGGCGGAAAATGCTCTTTTGCCGAGGAGTTCAAGCGTCGAGTGGAGGCGGCGCGGGTACGAGGGATGGATGGAAACGGAAGGAAGGAC